ATGACGTGTGCATAAAAAGCAGAATTAAAAAATTACCACCATGCACGTTCTCTGAAATTTGTTTAGCACAATGGTTGGGGAAGGATGTGAAAACACCTCATATACAATACTCTGGAATGTCTACTTTATAAAAATATAAACTTTCATGATGTTAACATTAACGGGGGGATGCAAAAATATGCCAAACTGAAGATAGGCCAAGCATACCTATATATCAAGTTGAAAAACTGATATGTACAAGTCTTGAATGTGGCCTTTTAGCCCCCAAACAACCCAGCAAACCTATGCATGGGTGATGTCACTGTACTCAGGAGATGTTGCTGAACACATATTGGGGTGTTGTTTGGCAGTGATACATAACAGGATCTGTTAATTCATGCCTAAAGTACAATGTATGTGTAAAAAAACATGAAGAAAATTACTACCCAAAAGTTTGCCAAAGGCTGGTGGTAGAATTATTGCATGAAAAGTATTAAACTACCACCATTTAAAATACCCTGAGTTGTCTACTTTTCAAAAATATATGGTTTGATGGGGGTAAAATACATTGGCCCAAATAGGACAGGGGCGCTGGGTGACTACATGTCAAAATTCCAAGTTGAAAAATGGATACGCGCACCTGCCAAATGTGGCCTTTTAGCCCCCAAACAATCCGACAAGCCTATGCATGAGTGGTATCACTGTACTCGGGAGATATTGCTGAACATATATTAGTGTGTTTTTTGGCAGCAAGACATAACAGGATCTGTAAGTTTATACCTGAATTGCAATGTATGTGAAAAAAAAAAAAAAACTATCTATGCAAAGTTTGGCAAAGACTTGTGGTAAAATGGCTGCATAGAAGGTGTCAAAATATCCTTAGATGAATTTTTGCAAATTATAGGGTTGTCTACTTTAAAAAAAAAAAAATATATACATGTGGAGTGTTTTCCAGAGATTTATGACAGATAATAGTGTTACAATGTCACTATTGATACATTTTAAAAATGTTTGTTTTGAAACCGCCATATCCTACTTGTACCTATAGCCCTATAACTTGCAAAAAAAAGCAAAAAAGCACGTAAACACTGGGTATTTTTAAACTCAGGACAAAATTTTGAATCTATTTAGCTGTTTTTTTCATTCGCTTTTGTAGATGAGTAAAAGATTTTTCAAGTAAAAGTCAAAAAACATGTATTTTTTTCAATTTTTCATCATTTTTTTTTTTTAAATTAAAATACATGAGATTATATAAATAATGGTATGTAAAGAAAGCCCCTTTTGTCCTGAAAAAAAAATATATAATTTGTATGGGAACAGTAAATGAGAGAGCGGAAAATTACAGCTAAACACAAACACCAGAAAAGTGTAAAAATATTCCTGGTCGCAAATGTACAACATCGCAAAAACAGTCCAGTCCTTAAGGGGTTAAACATAAAATCAAGTTTACTTTTCTCTGCAATATCAGTAACAAAATCCTTTATTACTCACCAGACAAGATGATCTTTAATGCATGACACAGTCTGCCAATAGTCTTACAGCTGCACATTGTGGATTTCCTTCTGGACGCTTGCCAATCTCTGCCACGTGCTTGCTTGCAGAATACATGTTGTATCTTCTGCTGCTTTCTTAATAACACATGCTTTTGTCTGATGTAGAAAATAATCTTGGAACAGTCTTTGTGACTTAAAAATCTTTGTCTTCTGATAAACACACATAGCTCTGCACACAGTTCTTAAAGTTCTTTTTTCTCTGTTTCTGGCTACACACTCTTCTATTCAAGCTGCATTCACACAAAGATTAATTCGATATCTATCCTCTCTCTTCTCAACCCCCCCCCCCCAATGGAAGTTTGAAAATGCCAGGAAACAGAAGTCTGGCTGGCTCGTCAATGTTATATCTGGCTGTGTGTTTATTTAGTTGAATAAGTCTTTTTTTTTATATATAGATATTTCTTCTTTGGCCAAAAGGCTCGCCACATTAATATGTCTATATTAATGAAAAGTACTAATACGCAATCTGACGTTCTTTATGAAAAATATGCTGTAACGGATCACCTGGCACCCCGACTGGGTACCTCCGTTGAAGGATGCTCCTAGCGCTTGCTGAGGACTCCAAGCACTCTGGCAGACACCACAATCACCGAACCGGAGAAACAAATTCTCCCAAGCATATGAATGCTGTAGACAGTTGAATAGGAACCATACGAATAGGTTTACTCTCCTAGCAGTCAAACTGGAACAGCATACAATGAATCCTTCCCCCAATAATGAGACGACACTTCACTTTGAGGGTTAAAACAGGAACTCTCTGTACTGTCACATACAGCCTCTTTTATTCCCAATCCACAAACATAGCACAGCCCACAGGGCGTTACAAAATAGCCAATCAATCCATACAACACACCCAGACACTCCCACACAAAATCCTCCCCTCTGGCTGTGATATGATTACTGAACACAATGGGTAATCTAATTATCACAGCCAGAGAAATACAGTTTCATAAAACACATCACAGGGACCCCAAAACATGCAATAACCCCATAAAAAGTATATCCTTGGAACTGGGGGATCTGGGTGAACCACACATCCAAAACTCACCCAGATCCATTCAGTACCTTGGAAAATACAGTCCAATGCAGACTCTGCAGAACATATACAGGCTAAATAACAAACAATCACTGTATAATGTGTCCCCTGCTGTATAGCCCAAAACCACCGCACGATGTCTCTGTGCAACAAACACTGGCGAGACGGCACCGTGTTGAAAAGTCCACACAGTGTCTGCGAGCTAAAATGTCCACCATCCATTGCTCTCACCATGTGCCTCCGACACAGGAAATGGTGGCCACCCAGTAACTCCACAGTATGTCCCCAGATGGTTCTTAAAAGGGCTAGCAGCAGCACAACACAAATCCATTATGCCCAAATCATGTCTTTAAAGGGCAATACATCCCAGGGGCCATAGTCACATGGCAGGAGGCTGGCAACCAGGCTTCTCCAGTGCATAGTGGCGAGGTTGGTTCCACCACATATGCATTTATTCTTCTTCAACCATAAACAATAATATACTTAACAGATGGTTTTTCTTAACGACATTACAGAGAGTTGTTGGATCGTAGAAGGAAGAGAGCATGGTCCTTTGTCCTCTGCCCTTTAGAGCCCAAATTACGTCATAACTTTTTTTTTTTTTATATACAGCACATTCCAGAGACCTCGTGGTACAGAATAGCAAAGACCATCTGTTCTTTTTAACCCATTAGACAGCCACACCTTAATATGTATTTAAATAGGAATATACAGAATATGCAATATTCTACAGATATTTAATTCTGTTTTATTATATTGTTAACTATATACACAAATATATTTGATTTGGGTAATCTTTATCAATGTGAATTGCAAATAGGTAAATTTTAAGATATATTTCTTTCTTAGTAATGATGATTCTAAATCGGATGTGATTTGCATTCTCTCTACATTTCATATATTTTGCAAATTTTATTCCCCCTCCCCACCCCCCCCTTTTTTTTTTCTGCTCCCCAATCTCAAACAATGACTTACTCTTATGAGCCTATAATACTTCCTGAAATTAGAATATATGAACATTTAACAAACTCTTTGTCAAGCATCTGGAAGGATGTATTTATCAGGACTACAAAGAGGTGAATTTCGGGAGATGTAGTCCCGACGGCAAACCGGAAATGACGTTGCAGCAGTATAAGCCGGAAGTGACGGAACGGCAATCATAGCCGCAACTTGGAACAGCTGACATCCTCGTCTGTGGGAAAGGTGATTGGTGAATAGGAGAAGAGGTGGGAATAGACACCATTTTTAAACCGGACAGCAAAACAAGAACTGAATACCAATTGAAAAAGCCGACATCTGAGGCGAAACGCATCTTGGTACAGAGGACCTTTTTTATTTTAATAGCATTGTGATAATTTTAATTACTTTTACTCTTTACTGATTTAATAAATACCTTGTTAATTTTACTTACCTCTACTTTGCATCTTGGATCCGGTTGAGGGGAGTGTCACCCTTAAAATAGACACATATGCCAGAAATACTTAGACAGTTTATAAAAAGGCTCTGAAAAAGGTGAACAGCCTTCCTTTTTTCTATATACATTGCACTGTGCACTCTAGTTTCAAAAAGATCTGCACCTATATAAAAGGCTCTAATAATGTGAGTCTATTTTCACGTATCAGTATTTAAATCACGCTCTGTAACCCTACAATATTATTCTATGTGCTTCTTTTTCTCTTTTTTGCATATTGTAGCGGACCGTTTTGCCCACAAGAGGTTAAAAACCGTTTAGGCGATATTCCCCTTTTTCAGCTGCACAGACAGCTACTGCAAGCACCAATCTCCCGAACTGCAATCAAGGGAATACTCGAAACTCCCGAACTGCATACCAAGTAGCACTCCAAACTCCCGAACTGGAGACACACGAATAGCTGCTAGCAGACGAACAGGAAAAGCCCCCAAGCGGCTTACACTCCTGGCAATCAGTCTCTAACAGCATACAGTAAATCCTCCCCCCCAATAATGAGACGACACTTCACTTTTAGGGTTAAGCAGGAACTGATTTACTGGGGCTAACTGCCCGGCTTTTATGCAGGTCTCCCACCTGGTTGACACTCCCCTAGGGAACCAAATGGGAGACTGGGACACAAAGGGTAAAAGGACCAATCACAGACTTACACATTTCAACCATACCACAATGCATCACAATACCTCCTCTCTGCCCTGGAGATAATTGGGAAGTAATCCAATTATCTCCAAAGACAGAGGCAAAACTCCATTAGCCACATGGCAGAAAACAAACCGTAAAAGACATAAAATTACCTACAGTTACATTCAGTACATAAAACATATACATTCTACATATCCCCAGATAGCTCAGATCTGAGCGCACATTATTACCGAATGGCGCTCAGATCACATACATACAGTTCAATCACCATGGAGCCAAAGTCCTTCACATAGTCTTTTCGTTACATGAACAGGCTCCATGGCTTAGCTATCTGGGTGATGCTGTTCATCCGGTTAAACTACCGAATGAACAGTCATTCGGTTCCGCTCTCGAATGGGAAGGGAAGGAGGCTGGCGGCTCTGCGGTGTTCGCGCAATTAAGTGTCCGTTTTCAGTTCCATAGTTTAGGCGCTGAACACCGCTGGCCGTTCGGGAGGTAAAATGGCCGCTGCCACGTGTTCGGCAACCGAACAAAGGCCTCCCAGCGTTCATCAATTAAGCTGCGGTTAACCGCAGCTTCTGGGCGGTCAATTGACGGCACACTCCAGTTCCCAGGTGGTCCATTGTTCGGTAGTTGTTCGGTAGATTGAATCTACCGAACACCCTGGCAGAAAGGCATGAATAAACCTTTCAGCAGGGAAAATAACAGGTCTGAACTGCAGGGCCATAGTCTAAAGGGAGCAGGCGAGCAACCAGGCTTCTCCAGTGTTGAGTGGCGAGGTTGCTTTCGCCACACATATATACCCCATGTTTCATCCTGAGGGGTAAGTGTATATTTATATGTCTGGGATTATATTTACTCTTACCAAGTAGAGGGGAAGTTTGACACGGACCCACTATTGGTTATTGGTTTTCTCTTTTGTATTTGCATGTTGTAGTGGGTTTTTTTGGAGTACCCACGGAGTGTTTTAGCAAAATAATTTACCAAATAATTTCACTGATTTCCACACCTTTTCTTGTGGTGTTTTCAATCGCTGTAGAGCAGTGGTTTCCATAAATTGTCCCTTCTCCACCCTTTTCTCTTTTCCAGGCTCCCCACAGTGCAGAAACACAGATACAGACTGACACACGTGCAGATACACATACAGATACAAAAAAAAAAACACACAAAGGCGCAGATTTCAGACACAATGACAAACTCCTACAGATACATAATACAGAGACATTTGTATGTAATATATACACATACACACACACACACACACACACACACACGCGCGCAATCACTGGGATTCACATGCAAATGAAGCCCCAATGATGCACATACACAGAGAAAACCCGGACACATACAGATACTGACACACACATGTACAGACAGGCACAAACCCTGCCACACTTACCGATAATCTGTGAACTTTGAGGCCGATAACTTACAATATTCTGTACATTTTCCATTTAAAAAAAATAAACTATTTCTACACAAATCTACTGTGAAAATGTTTATTTTATTTATTTAGCAAATCTTTTTTTTTTTTTATTAAGTTAAATGCACAAAATATACATGTCAGTCAGAATTTTTTGTTTTCAAGAATTTGTGTGTAGTGGATGCAGAGTGTGCAGTTTGTATAGTGAATTCAGAGTGTGTTTGTGCCATGAGTGTTTGTGTAGTGTCTGTGTGTGTGTGTGTGTGTGTGTGTGTGTATATAATGAATGCAGTGCTTGTGTAGGTATCTTAAAGGGGCTCTCCAGTGCCAGGAAAACAAACAGTTTGGCACTGCAGGTTTACTCTCCCTACCACACCCCATACCAAGTTGCTGAAAAGGTTAAAACCCCTTCAGTGACTTACCGGAGTCCAGCGGGGGAAACCTATTGCGCATGCGCGGGGGAGACCTAATGTGCATACGCGGCAATGCCGCGCACACGCATTAGACCTCTCCATAGGAAAGTATTGAAAAATGCTTTCCTTTGGGGATTTCAGTGACGCTGGAGGTCCTCACATAGCGTGAGGACGTCCAGCGACACTATAGCACACAAAATGTGTGCTATAATCACTGAAGTGCCATATAGTGGCT